ACATGGACACTTTCTCAAGGAAACACCCGACTGTCTCACTCTCCCTGTGCATTACATCTACACGAAGCATAAACTCTGAGTCTTCCCACAAACCTGAATATGGATTGATAAGGCCAAATATGGCACACATTCCCCAAATCCTTTGCTCAAATTACCAGCGATGTTTTCTTTCCTTAGTCGTAATGATCCACCAATACACCGATAACCAGAAATCGCACAAGTTGACACTACACAATCCAATCATAGACAGTGGGTCTCTTCCACTTAGCTTGAAGCTACAATTACAAAATTCTGGAATCCACCGAGATTCTTTCTTCATCGTCGGCATGATCCTGCACACGCAACTTGCCAAATGTCTTGAAATTCTTCTATTAACCTTTAATAAACACTCCGAACCACTAGCCATATTTACATATTAAATTTCTTACCGGGTAGCTAGTAAAATTCTTCATAGAAGCTTCATCAACACCACGCGACCGCTAACCTGCTCACATGAGATAAGCCATATGTGGAAATTACATGCTAACATATTCCAATGCTGCTGCATTGGGTGCAATTACTACAAAATCAGTAGATCACCCTGAGTCCGAGCTAATTCACCAGCTGCACCAGTCCGTTCACTCCTCATGGCCGTCAACTAGAGGTGCGACAATACATTATAATCCAAAGTCATGTTGTATCATTCTTCATATCAAGCAACTCCCTCCTGTTGTATCCAATATTCCTCAATATAGCAGTTCATATTACAACTTAAGTCCATAGACCTAGTCACTGTCCATTTTACATCCCAAATCACTCCAAACGTTCCTCAAGACATGTAATCATCCTACCACGTAACCCATGTGCTACCTTGCCACTCTCCCACTTTGGTCAACCATCTCCTTTAAGCAACTACTTTGCTTTTGTTTTCTTACACTTGGCATTTTCGGAACCTAACCACCGCAAGGCACCTTCCACATGTCCTTCCTCATCCTTCGTTGCCCAGTTGTTTCCTTAACTCATAATCCGTCTCTGTAGCACTTGAACCAATAGATCGTTACCATCTTTAAACCTTTCTGACGATCATCCTTCTAGAGACATCAATACTAGAAATGTTGTTTCGATCCTGAATCACTTCACATCGCGATCTCTAACGACTGCTTCCTCTATACCAATTCCTAACACCCCGTCATGAAGGTGAGTTAATGAAAATCATAACACTGGCGAACCTTAACGCATTTTACAAGGCGATGACACCACATCAAAATTGAGAACTCTACCACACTCGAAAATATCAAGCTTCGTTACTCCATCAACCCCAAACCTGAACATTCATAGTCCGATTGCCTTTTCTCTGCTAGAATTAAAACATGGAACCTCTGAATCATGTACTGAGAAAATCTTCTTTCAAATCGTTTACTGCCCCGACACATAGACGGATATTGTTTTTTTCCATTACATAAACACTGTGCGATAACAAAGCACGAATCGTCATAACAATTAATGCCAAATCTCAAAACCTTAAGTAGTACTGATACTTAATTTGAAATGACAGAGCGGCCTTTCGTAAGGCGATGACAATAGCCCAATTAATTACATAAGGAGAAGTGTCCGGTACTACATCTGTAGTACCATTAACAATTTCCTCGATACCCAATTTATAACAAGCGCTTCACATCGCATAAGATTGAGTAGGAAGGAAATAAAGGCATAAGCATCAAAGGAATCGAATCGCACGATGAGGAATCAAAAATGGAAGTATTCCTAACAGCCTTGTAGCCTCTCGAAGATAAGTACAGACGTCTCCGTACCGATCCGCAAGACTCTACTAGACTTGCTCATGACTTGTGAGACCTACATGAACCTAGTGCTCTGATACCATGTTGTCACGGTCCAATTTTACCTATAGGTCGTGATGATGTCGGACACCGCTGTCAGACAAGCCAACAATAAATACTAAATAAATTCTCATTTTAATATTTTTGAAGTCATAGTTGTTCCTCTCAATTCAATAGCAGAAGATGACATTTACCAAATACGTACTAATATCTTTAAAAATTTCCAATACAGTGCAACCCATAATCATCCAAAAACCCGGTGTCACAAGTGCATGAGCATTTACTAGAAAATTAAAATAAAATACAACATCTGTCTAGAATACAAATTAGACAGAAAAATATAATAACTCTGAAGGAGACTCTATTAGCTGCGGATCGTAATATAGAATGCAGCTCACCTATGTCCCCACAATTATTAACCACACCTCTGTGCCCACAAGGCCGCTATACATATATATACCTGCACAATAAAATGTGCAGCAAGTGCAGTATGAGTACGAAAACAATGTGTACCCAGTAAGTATCAAGCCTAATCTCGAAGAGGTAGAGACGAGATGGCCGACTATGACACTCACTATGGGTCAATAATATTAAATAATCATGAAAATAGAAATATTTATATCAACGTGATTCACAGAGTTAACAATAATTTTATTGTACCAGCAGAGGTAATTAAATTCCTTCAATTCCAATAATTCTCAATAT